TGTTTGGTTGATAAAGTTTTGATTTTTATCAGTTTTTTGAGACACCCTTTTGTTTGTTTTAGCTTAATATATTCAAATTTTTGTGTTTTTTTTTTTTGGGTACTGCTATGGGGTGATAGATTCTTCATGGTTTAGTGGGTGAGTAATCTCTTACTTAAATGCTTAATGTAGGTTTAATTTGATTTAATTGACTTTTTTTTTTCTTATGGCGTTTTGTATTTTGAATTGATGAAGGCTTGTGAGGTCTCCAATAACAGCAACATTGCCTCAGATTGGTTCAAGGCTGTTTCTGGTATGGGGTATCTTGTGGAGTTTTCCTGAGGTGAACACTGATTTAACTTTGTTTCAATTATTGTGGCTCAAGTACAATTATGATCCTCCTTTTTTACTCGTTTAAGATTTCGGTCCCACAATTTCTAAATCTACAATTTTGGTCTCTAGTTTTCAAATTGTCTGCCTTTCCCTCACATATTATGCATTTTGAAGCTGAATTTTGATGATTTGGTAATTGTGGACCAAAATCATAGATTTAGAAATAAAGGACCAAAATAGCAAAGGAGTCAAAATAGAAGGAATAAAACTGTTTTTGACCCTTTTATTTATCTATTAGTGTCATTTATAGAGCCATCTCATGTTTTTGAAGACCCTGTGTATAGATTAGTCGTAGTTTAACCATGACAACAAACAAAATAGAGGTCCCTATTTAACTACAGTTTAATTGGGACGGCCATTTTTTATGAGGCCCTTTTCGGCCATAGTTTAATTGCGACAAATTTTGGGCCCATGTGCGGTAACCCGCTTAGCGCGTCCTTAGAGATGACCCTGCTCATTTAATTCAAGATTGTCATGTTCTATTACTGAAAATTTGATGCATCTTTGAATGACAGACTCGAACTCATGTTCTTGTGAGCTCTCTACTAATCAGCTGGTCTATCACTGAGGCAAGTTTTTTATGATATTGCTTCCTTACTTTCGTTCAGCACCGATACCATCTGTATGGTACTCCAATTTTATTGGTTTTGTTTAATATTTATCATCTGCCTTATTGTTACAATTTCAGATTATTCGTTATTCTTTCTTCGGATTCAAAGAGGCTTTTGGATTCACCCCGTCTTGGCTTTTGTGGCTTAGGTACGAAATTCAAGTATAAAGATTTCTTCGTGAAGTATATAGTACCAAGTTAATCTTATTTTTGCTCTTAGATTGACCTTTTTTTTTTGCTTTGCAGATATAGCACATTCTTACTTTTGTATCCAACAGGCATAAGCAGCGAAGTTGGTTTAATATACATTGCCTTGCCATTCATTAAGGTAAGTAGTTTGAATATCAAATTTCCAAATTGCATTTAGGCCTGTAGGTATTGGCTTATTGGAGTTTAGATACTAGCATAAGCACTTGAGAGAAGAGCTTATGCAAGAACATCTTATGACATGTGCATAACCTGTTTTCGGCTTATTTTCATCAGCACTCCATGATAATATCTTGTGAATACAACTTCTAGCTTCTATCGAAGTAGTTTGACTTGTTTACCCTTTGTCATAGAAATAACTTATTTATAAAAGCACTTAGATGATAAACATTTATGCTATAAGTAGTTAATTAAGTTTATCCAAACAGATTTAGAATCTTTTTTAAAAGATCTAAATCCGGTGATTGTGTTGTTTATGACTTATACAAAATATGCAATGAGCTATAAGAACCTTTGTGGGTAATATGTAAGAACCTCTATGTAAGCGTTCTTTGAGTTTCGGGATTTTCCCCCGACTCTAATGAGTCTCGGGATCCAACTTGCCTAAACTTCCCTTATGATTGATTCTACTTGAACTATTTGATATTCTCTTTTATCATGAATATCGAAATTTCAAGTTATTGATTTGGTATGTTTTTCAGGCATCTGAGAATTATTGCATAAGAATGCCTAATACATGGAACTCTTCATTCGATTTCTTTTATCTCGCAATTGTTGCATTGGCAATCTACGTTCCAGGCATGAACCAAGCACCTTTCTTACTACTGAAGTCCTTATTCCAACATTTATCACACTGATCTTATACCTCAACTGATTGAATAATTCTATGCAGGTAGTCCTCACATGTACTCATACATGCTTGCGCAGAGGAAGAAAGCGCTCGCCAAATCAAAGACGGAATAGCACAACATCAGTAGTTTGTGCCAAATCGAAGACCTAGTAGCACTACATTAGTAGTTTCCATTGATTCTTGTCCAAACCCAAGATGTATAGAAATGTCATGTCCTTGTTTGGATTCATCAGCATATATGTATATCTAGCGAAAAATGCTTCTTTTGTTAATGTCACATTAAAGTAAAACATGCCTGATATATATAATATGTTAACTTCTCATTCCTTAGAAGCAACTTCTTCTATAACTAAAGTATAACCAAGTGATTGTTAATGTAACATTCGGTTTTTAGTTATAGGACCTGATTAATACCACCCTTCACTAGTGAAGGGTCCAATTAAAACCAGAGTTTTAGTTTTGTATGGACTCGCTCAACAAAAATCATATGTGGTTGGCTAAGACCTAACAAAGTTTCGAGCACAAAGAAGTATAGCTCATCCCCGCCATTAAGGGTTGTGTTTGTAAGATACTCTCTTTTTAAATTATAAAACGCATTAGAGAAAATATTTGTCTCAATTATAAGTCATTTTATAATTCTAATGCAACGTTAATAATGATTTTTCTAATATACACTATTATTTATTATTATTTTTTCTTTTAACTATTTAAATTTCTCTTTCATGGATAATAATTGAAGGACAATATTATAAACGTATACGTGACCAATTAAAGTGATCCACTTGTGTTTCAATAGCTATATTAAAGAAGAATTTCATTTTATAGATTAAGCATATGTAATTTTTATCATTTGCATGTTGACCCTACCCTTAATGTATTTTCATGTTTTCAATAAAAAAATTTATAGAATTTTTTTCTTTTCCATCAGTAGTTTAAGGAGGATAATGTTACTTTGCTTGATCTTCTTTACAAATTCTTTCACGCCTATCTCATACCAATATCTTGAATTATTTATTAGTTTCTTTTTTCTATTTTTATAAAATCCATTATTTTTATACTCTAAGAATTTGATCCGTGATTCTTTTTGTTGAACTTTCACGAGTTATTGACTTGAAGAATTTATTAAAATATTATTTTTGTATAATTTTATTGAGAGGAATTAAAGTTTCATCATAATATTTTTTAAAGTTAAAAATTTAATATTGTTATTGATAATTTTATTTTATTTTTTAATAAAAATTCAATAGATATGATTTGTCAACTTGTAAAATTCAATAGATAAGAAATTTTATTAGTTAAAACAACAGTAATTTTGAAAATTAATAAAATAATATAAAATAATTATTTAATTCAATGTCTCTTCTTGTATTTGTAAATAATCATTTACAAATGAGGGACATGTGCTGATGTGCAGTAAGAAACAATACCCCTTCTTATAAAATGAGATAAAGAGTAAGAAAAATAAATGAAATTTATGTAACAATATACCTCCTTATAATACGAGATCAACATTAAGAAAATTCAAAGAGCAGTCAATAGCACAAATAAAAAAAAAAGCGAAAATTTAAAAGAAGAAGAATGGTGTCTTTTTTTGAGTTTTGATAAAATAGAAGATGAATAGTGTGTTTAATTTTGTTTAAAATAATAAATATTTCAATATTAAATCACAATTATTGAATTTTGTTTTGTACACGTGTTATATAATTGAAACTAAATTAATCGGATTGATACTAAATGAAGTGGATGTAAAGTCTAAACTCATTAAAAACATATGAAAAAAATTAGGGTTGATAGTCATTTATCCTTCGTATTATATAAACATCATTCAAAAAAATTTCTCATAAAAAAAAATACATGATTTTTTCTAACATTTAAAAAAAATCTCTCATAAAACTTTAGACTGATCAACTCATCAAAAATGGTGATATGGCCGCGTTTTTTAATTATTTCCATTATTTTTTATTTTCACGTGTGTTTACATACTTTTACTTGGACAAAACTACTCTTAGTTGAGAAACATAAAATCTTGGTAAAAGACATGAGATGATGTTTGAAACCCTAAAATCTTTTTCTTTCCATCTTCACATTCTCTCTTCTGAACTTGTTTCGCACAATCTCTATCGATTTCATCTGTTCTTTCGTCTTCATTCTTTGTGTGTTTCAATCAAGATCAATGAAAACGTCAGATTGTTCACAGTCAAGCATATCTTCAATTTGCAGAAGTACTCCAAAATATGGTCGTAATCTCCCCATGAAGTTGTTTGTTTCAAAATCAGTTGCAAATCCTAGAAAAAAGTATTGTAAGTGTAAGTTTGGGGGTAAAGAAGATGATTGTCAGTTATTTCATTGGTTGATGAGTTTTTTGGTGAAAGAGAAACAAACACAGATGGAGAAGTGTTAGATCTGATGAAGAAAATGGACAAAGATTTTGCAAGACAGATGGGAGAATTGAAGAATAAGGTTGAAGGCTTAAGGAAGACGAATTTTGTGATAGTTGTAATTATTTGTACCTAGGTGTTATTTGTTATAGGTTCATGTACCAAATACTAGTTATTAGTTATGTTTTGGACTAATGGAAGATGCTTTGTAATGTATTGCTGTAATTTCAGTGAAAGATGATTTATTATGTTTTGAACTGGTTTTAATTATGTTTTGAACTAATGGAAGAAGATGCTTTGTAATGTATTGCTCTTATATCAATGAAAGATGATTTGTTATGTTTTAAACTGTAATGGAAATTCATTTGTAATGTGATGGTGTCATTTGGACATTGATGAATAACATATACATAATTGTGTCTTACAAAATGCATACAGAGTAAACCCAATGTGGTGCTGTCATTTGAATACCTATTGTGATGCTTTCATTTGGACATTGATAATTAACAGATACATAATTGTGGCTTTCAAAAGGCAAATCCATATTGTCAAATACATAGATACCTAGTTGTGGCTTACAAAATGAGTTTCAAAAGGGCACATAATGTGCATAACATATTTGTTTCAAAACAGGACATAAAAAACAAACATAGTTGTTACAAAATGACATAACTTAATTGTTACAAAATGACATAACTTAGTTGTTACAAAATGATCTAACTACTGAGTCATTCTCCTAGAAATGTCTTCCCATTATCTTGTTATCTTCACAGTAGGTTCTTCTTCTTCTTCAACTACCAATGGTTCCTCTGAATTTGAACCAACTACATCACATATTTAAGCTCTAGAAATAGCTTTCAACCTATCATTGCTCTTCATCATCTAATTTAAATTCTCTTTCTTCTTCACTGTCATTGAACCTTATGCCCTCATCATCACCATCAGAGCTGTCATTATACTACTGTCACTAAACTGATCAATATCAGGCTTCAACACTTTGTTATTCATGTCCTTAACACCATGTTCAACTCATAGATGTCCATCAACATTACCACTCATGCAGTGAGTAGCAACCTCTCCAGCCTGTACATCACCAATGACTTAAGCAAACTCTTCATCCCTTCTTGGAATCTTTCTCCAAAGCCTAAACCCTTCATACCCCCATTCTTTCACCAAGATAACTGCCTCAAAGAAACTCCACATATCATATATAAAAAAGAAATTAATTATTCTGAAATCAAATATTTTATTCTTTAATAATTTATTCCATATTTTAGACTAAATATGTTTTTTCTTTTAAATGCACCCATTTTTATTTGTAATTCATTTAAAATCTTCCTTTAAATTTTAGTACGTATAATTTTTTTTAATTCAATTAAAATCTTCTTTTATATTTTAGTACATATAAATTTTCTGCTATTAATTTTAGTTCTGGTTTAATAATTAACTATTTAATTTTATTAGTTTAACTAAAATTTTAAATTCAAGGCGATAATGTTGTATTTTTGGATAACTTGAATTGGGGTTATGCTTTGATGTATTCCTGTAATATATATCAATGATAATGTTGTATTTTTGGATAACTTGAATTGGGGTTATGTTTTGATGTATTCCTGCAATATATATCAATGATAATGTTGTATTTTTGGGTAACTTGAATTGGGGTTATGCTTTGATGTATTCCTGCAATATATATCAATAGTATTATTTAAGTTTAAATATATTTTTGGCTCTCTAGTTTTGGTTTTTTTGAAGTTCCAACCCCCCATTTTAAAAGTTAGGTTTCAAATCCCTAAAATTTATTTGAGTTGAGATTTTTTTAGTCTCCTCCATCTGACTGTTCATTCAACGACCTGACATGGATGTTGAGCATCCACGCCAGTTGTTTTAATTTTTTTATTCAGATGTCATTTTTAAAACATCAACAATAATTTGGAATTTTTAAAAACACTTTTTAAATTAATTGTAATTAACTTAAATTGGGAAATGAAGTGTTTATAACCCTAAACCCTTTTGTTCCATGATACTCGTTGCAAGCATTTACTTAATCTTCTTCTCCATAGTTAGGGCACGAAAGATAACCAAATAGTGTGAGAAGGCAAGAACGAGACCGATTATGACGAACGCACAAGTGAAATTTTGTCTGAGGTATGTTTTTTTGTCTCGTTTGAACATGGTTATCGATGTTGAGGTAACAATATATATGGTTCTGCGTGGTCCACCATGGTCCTTTCTGTGAGTTCGTGGTCCAACATGTTCCTTTATGTTTGTTGTGATCCTTGTTATTAAAGTAGTTTTCCCTTTTTATTTTGTGATCCACCATGTTCCTTTGTTGTTTGGATGTCTGTGAATTAGGTTATTAATATCGTATTTGAATATTGTATATTTCAGGCCAAGTTAGGAGACTAAAGTTAGGTTAAGACTCCACCATAGGGATATATTTGTAACAGAACTTGTTCATTTGTATGTTGGTGGTGAGGTAACTGAAATGGATTGGAAGTGAGATGTTGATTATATATCATACATGGATATGGAGGGACTGATTAAAGACCAGAGTTATATAGAGATCAGTAATTTGTGGTATAGGAATCCCAGATTAAGATTTACTTATGGTCTTAGGCCATTAAACAATGATAACAATGTGTTGCAGTTTGCCCAAGATGTTGTAGGTCACGAGCTAATTGATGTTTATGTTGAACATAAAGTCTCTGCTCCACCTGAAATTATGGACCCAA